GGCAGAGAGCCATCTAATGTCTGCAGGTATCTTAAATTTTGAGTCATCCACGGATTGTTGGCCTAAAGTTTGGCTTGTATGCCAAGCTCTGACTTTGCATTAGCTTTAATAACCCTACTTTTACTCAGTGTGTCCAAATCTAAAACCAAACATAAATCATACCTTTTTGGAGCTTGCAGCATTTGAGTACTGCTTTTTTGTCCACCTGGCAATCCCCTCCAATCCACCCCCATCCAGAGGCAGTTTGTCAGCAGGACAACCTAGAGCCTAGGACCTGGTGCAGGTCCAGAAAGCCTAGCTACAGCCCCCTGCTCCTGCAGTAAAGCAGGGGGTAAAGGAAGTGGGTGAAGCTGTATACCTAATTGTCACGTCTTTGGCATGTGTAGGCTACTTTTGTCTTAGAGGGCCATACCAGTGCAGATAAGGTGGCTTCTTTGTGGCTATTACAGTACATATTAATGTCAGTAGAAGGGGGATGAGCAAAACTGCTACTATGCCTAGAACCCTACTCCCGCCAAATCATTCTTTGCTCTTACCATCCAATAAGCAATGAGGGCAAATAAAACAGGCAAAAGTGGTGCTGGTGCCTGGGGGACCCCATTCAACCTTAAATTTGTCTCTGCTCTAACTATCCAATAAGCTACGAGAGCAAATTACTAATCAAATGTGGTGCTGGTTATGGATGGCATCTGTTATGGACGGTAGGATGGGCCTTTGTTCAGTGTGAAGCTTGGATTAGAGGGGCTCCAGGAGAACACAACACAGAAGAATGTAAAGGACACCTTAAGTAAAGCTTTATTTCTAGATTATGAATCAACATATGGACCTTTTTTTGCTGTCCTCACTGGGGAAATCTTTTTTCATTCCAGTCTCAATGACCACATTGGAAACTGAGGAGGTTTAACCCTTTCCCAGATTTTATTGCAGTCTATGTCGCTGTTAGAAACTGTCCTTTTCCTGTCCCGGTGATCACACAGAAAATGAAGGAACATCTCTCCAATGGGTTTACAAATGCAATAAAAACTTACCAAGCTTTGGATCATGTCGGGTCAATATAAAATGTCATGCACGTTCAAACAAGTATAGTCATTGTACAGCCACATATTCCATTCTCCCCACTGACTTCATGTTGGTTGGGCATACCTTGTGGTACTTACCAACAGATTAGACTGTTTTTAGCCTTTTTCTTGGTGTAAGGCTAAAGAAGGTTTTGACATTTTAGTGAAGCACAAACCTCAGATTACATTCCTTTTTTCTCATGGCATGCAGTCAACAATTCAGGACTGTACTCCACCAACTATGGATCAAGCCTCAAGGGCCTGCTCTCACTAATGTTTGATGATAGCAGGAGATCAGAGGATCCTAGTGCTCCAGACTGCGGATAGTGTGCCCCATGCACAGCCCTTGCATGCATAATAATTTGTAATACTCAGGTATTTCTTATGGCCTTGTATTGTTTCAACCCTTATCAGCACAGATGAAAGGAAAGTGCAGTAGCACATTTCTCAGTATTCATAAATTCATCCCATGGGGGGGGGGGGGGGGGGGGGGGGTGGAACCTTAGCAATACGTCAATAGGTGAATAGTCATCTATATTAAAGCACATTGCATATTGTATTTTTTTATCAAGTTGAAATAAAACCTAAAGTGCCTAAAAATTAAAACAAAATGGTAAAATTAATTTTTCAACAAAAGAGGGTCTATGTACAATGCTTGACAGGTTCTGGAGTATTTATTGAAGTACAAAATAAAATGATCACAGTGGGTCATCATCGAATGCTTTGCCATGTTCGCACTATAGCGTGCTTAGTCATAAAGCTTCAATGCAAAAAGTGGAAGAATTTATTTTCACTTCAATAAATACTGTAGAAACTGGAAAATTTTTTGTGTGAACATTTGCTTTTGAAATGTGTTGACTTTCCAGCTTGTGGAGCCAGCGATGTTCCTGCAACAGGGCTGGGGTGGAGGGTGGTGGCCAAGCTCCCAGGCGGCAGTGAGATTTGTTTTGTGATGCAAAAAATAATTTTTATTTATTGAAAACATTTTTAGTTGTCTTGGAAACGCTGCTTTTTTTTTTTATTCAAGGAAACCTGTGCTGAGGAAAATTTGTAGGCTGCTGTTGTTGACCTCTCTTTATAACAATGTTACTTAGAAAAGCAGATACTCATAATGCTTCTGTATTATGTCCTTAGCATAATTCAATATATGAAAAGTCCCTCTTGTTAAAACCAATAGTCTAACCAGATAAAGAAAATCACAGTTCAAAAGGCAAATGCACTCTGAGAGTAATCAAAACACCTATATATAGAATACCTTGAAAACGTGAATCAAAGACCAGCATTTAATTGGGGTATATAGGTAGTCCTGAAGTCCACAAAAGTCACTTCATAGGTTTGCAAAGAGCAGATACACCTTCATTACTTCCCCATTAAACCGAGGCAGATGCAGAATTTTATCTCTCCACAATGGGGGCAAACCCCAATTAACAACAAGGTAGTCCTGTCATTTATAATTTGTCATGTGTTTATAACTGAAGCCAAGGAACCTACCCTTCCCACCACCACCTACCCAGGAGAATCAGAACCCTAACCCACCTCTCCAGTGATGTAAAGGACACGCAATATAAATGACCCAAGTGCTCCTTTCAGCCCCTGGTTATGTAATGTGCTGGGTCTTGAATCTTCTGTGTGTGTGGACTGCAGAGTGGAAGAGTCCTTCAAGTGCCCACACTACTGCCTGTTGACTTGGACACCTCTCATTTGGTCCATGGTCACTGTCCTCACAAGGTCCTAAAGACCCCAATGGCAGTACGATGACTTCAAGACAAAGGGGGAACAAGATGAGTCAGTGGTGGATTGCAGTGGTGGTTCACCAACCTTCACTCCCAGAAGAGGCAGGGTATGGGGTCAAGTGACGGCAGATTCAGGTAAGTCGAAAAAGACTCAGGTTTTTTTTCTGTTATTAATTATCTTTGTAAGAAGTTGTGAATGGATTTTAAAACATGTTTTTTTTTTTTCTACTTGCATTCAAGAAAATTTCAAGACTATCAATTATACCTTTGACCTCTCAACCTGGGTTTCAGCACACTTGTATCTGTTTTTACAATAATGTTGTTTGGTGTACAGGTTGTGGCCAGACATACCAGCTGCTGATAGTTGCTGCACCTATAGTGTTCCTTGTTTTAGAGCGATTTTTTTTTTTTTTTTTTTCAGTTCTGTTTGTCTCCCCTTCCATTTTAAGCCTAGTAGCAGTTAACAGTAGGAAGGTCCTCTTGCATTTCATTTTTTGCATACAAATGTAGACTTGTCAGAGCCTGCATACCTTTGAGATGAGCAAAATATTCTCTTGAGAACATAGGGTTTAGAGAAAAAAAAAATGAAATTCAGTCAGGATGGCAGGTTAACAAGCTACAAAACAGACTTTGCAGCTCTCGACTGCATTATCACTGATTTTTCCTCGCATTGTTTTCACACTTAACCAGTTTTTTTTAATTAAATATGACTTCTGTAACATTCAGCAGAGGAGATTTTGTTGCCCACCCTTCCCAACTCTCCCTTTCGGATTTGCCTGGCACAAAAGCTTTTTCGGTGTGACAGAATTAGGCAATAAATAGGCAAATCAATCAAGAAAGACCTTCACAATTTCAGTCCCGACTTCACTCTCCCTTTCTCTTCTCTCTTCTTTGTAATCGTCTTATAAGATTCTTATTGTCTGAGAGGATTAGTGCTATGAGCTACAGGAATTCTTTCTCTCTTACAATACATATGGAGAGGTATTGATGTGGAAACTACCCATGTGTTGCCCACCAAACTTGTTTTGGAGAAAGAGCATCTTCTGATCGATCGTCTGCATCAAGTGCGTTTTGCTACATAATGTGTTTTTTTTTTTTTTTTTTAGTAATCCTCTGTGGTGTTATTGATTAAGGATTTGTAAAAAAAACTTTTTTTTTTTTTAATTTCCTTTCTCATATCTGGACTATTGTAACCCACAGCGGACATCCTGAGTTTTAATCACAGTCAATTTCACTCTTTTATTTGAAAAATGCCCTTTCTTTGATATTTTTCTAGTAGTAACTAGACAATTCTTGTCCGGAGTTTCACGATGACATTCCATGCTGCTTTTTTTTTTTTTTCCTTTAAATATCTTGTACATTTCGTATTGGGTTGTAAAGAAATGCCTTTTTTTCCTTCTTTAGCTGTCTAGTTTCACTGTATTACCAAATCGCCTAACTGAGCTTGGTGGAGGACATCCTTTTCCTAAACCATGGCCAGTAATTTTTTGATGCCTTTCCTGACTCCTTTCCTTTGTGTCTTTAACAGCCTACACTCTTCTTGGAATTCTTTCCACAAGATTTTTGGAGTGTGTCTCTTGTATTGGTGCCCAGTCAGCCAAAAGAGCATTTGTGAGGTCAGGTACTGATGTTGGACAAGAAGACCTGGCTTGCAATGGGTGTTTTTAGTCACAAAATTGTTTGGTAGAGTTGAGGGTTAGGGCTCTGTGGAGGCCACTTGGTTTCCTTCACACCAAACTAAAGAGCAAGGATACTCAAAATTGTTGTTCATTAATTTCCCATGTGTGTTACTGAAGTCTTTGCAAGATTAAAGGCATTCAAAAATTATCCTGGATCTGATTCTACATTAGTATATGGTTATGTTTTTTTTGTTGTTTTTCATCATTAAATTGAGTCAAGACAAACTATTTTTTTATGTTTGAAAGCGTTAAAATCTCTGCAAAATGTTTTAGGTGTTGGAAACATTTCCAACTTCTGTTGATAGAATATGAGGGTAAAACCTTTCCTCTGGATCAAAGATATCAATAAAACTCTCAACTGTTGGAAACTATTTTTCTTGAGTCCCACTTTGGTTATTATTTTCATATTAAATTTGCATTCTTTCTGCTCTCCAACAGAAATCTGTGCAGCGGATTGTGGAGGTCATGGCATGTGTATCGGAGGCAGCTGTCGCTGCGACGAGGGTTGGATGGGAACTGCTTGTGATCAGAGGGCCTGTCATCCACGATGCAACGAGCATGGAACGTGCCGAGATGGCAAATGCGAATGCAGCCCCGGCTGGAATGGAGAGCACTGCACCATTGGTAGGACAGATGAAAAATAAAATACATTTAAAATGCTCACAACTGAAATGCTCCAGGGAGTGAGGCATGCTTTCGGTATTTAAAGGAGTGTCCTCATGGCATGTTCGGCTTCGTAATAGGTTTTCAGCTTCATACATATTCCATGTTGGGTTTTTATCAAAATGTCCTTTCATTTGGAAGTTAGGAGACCAATAAGTAGAAAAAAAAATTCCAGTTACAATTTATGCATTTATCCATTGCAATATCCCTAATGTAATTAAGATGCATAAAGATTCAGGCCCCTCATTTGGTATGAATCTCTCCCACACTTTGTCAGAGGGTTCAGCTTACAAGATTAAGGCATTGAATAGAACTGCAATTCATTGTGAATACTGATCTGCAGCACTATTTGTGATTTTGTCCAGTTTTCATATTCCCTTAAAATCGGCTTGCTAACTACACCAAATAATGAACCCTCTTTATTGTGCTTTTTGTATATTATGATAACTTAGTTGGGTTTATTGAGTGGTTATGGGAGTAAGATTGAATTCAGTGTGCATAAAATGGGTGAAAACAGGGTTGAGATCATGGATAAGCAGTTGTACATTAACTAGCTTGGTTTTTTAGAGGGCCTGACTCTCAGAATCTGGACCCACATTTCGTGTTTGGGCAAGTTTTTTCTCTACTCCAATGTTACCTACTTATACACTATATGGCCAAAAGTTGACCATCACTCCTATATGAGATTGGTTGACATCCCATTCTAAAACTGTGGGCATTACATGTTGCAGTTATAGCAGCAGTTATTGCAATGAGAGCAGCCTCCAACCTTCTGTGAAGGTGTTCCACAAGATTTTGGTGTGTGTCTGTGGAAATATGTGCCCGGTAAGTCAAAAGAGCATTTATGGGGACAGGTTCTGATGTTGGATGAGAGGACTGGCTTGCAGTTAGCATTCTGATTTATCCCCCAAAGGGTTCAGTAGGGTTGAGGTCAGAGCTCTGTGCAGGCCACAAGAGTTCCTCTACATCATACTCATCAAACCATATCTTTATTGAGCTGGCTTGGTGCACACAGGCTCAGTCATGCTCGAACAGAAGAGGGCTTTTTGTTTCTATAGGGTTGGAAGTGCTCGGTTGTCTGAAAATGTCTTTGTAAGCTGTAGTATAAACTATACCCTTCACTGCAAATACCTGAACTCAGTCATTTGGCATGTAATCACATGTTGTGGCTTTAAGGTGTGACTGTCCAAGAGCAGATAATGCTAATACCTTTCTTAGATAGAAAACCTTCCTATGTGGATTCATCTGAAATTGATTGATTTTCCAGACTTTGGGACTAACCTCCACCATATCACCACATCCAGGCGTCTGTATGAATGTCCCAAATATCCAATAGTTCAGGAATCACTAGAAGGAAAATACTGACCAGAGCTTGAATGCAAACACTCTGCCCCATTTCCTACCATTTCTGCAGCTCCCTGTTGGCCAACAAGGCTGACTATTACACTTAGTGGATATTTGAGAGGCACAAGGGGTAGGCCAGAGCCTGACCATTCAAGCTGCAGTTGTCATTTGCTTAAAAGAACACATTTTTGGGGGGGAATCACAGGTGTTCTTGACTAAACTGGACATGCACGTACACACTTTAAAGTTCCTGATTTGGGGGGGGGGGGGGGGGGTACAAATTTACCATGTGTGAAGAGGTCACAGTGTTGTCCTGGAAAGTTCCATTATTGATAGTTTAGACATTTTGCCGATGACTCTTTGATCCCTCTTCAGGCACAAACATTTTTTTTCAGCACCGGTTTTTACGTTCTCTTTTTGCAGTTTAAGTTTGTGTTGATAAAGACCTAACGTCCATGGGTTAACCTGATTTATGAGTCCCACTGTAATAACAGGCCTGTTTGTGGCCCAAAGCTTTATTTTATAGTATATTGCTATGTATTGACGGAGCATTCCATGCACCAGCAATCTGCATCTGATTACGGTGCAGACACAAGGCCAGACAGTGCAATAAATACACAATTTATATTATACATTTATATGCCATTGCTCTGGTGAAGGGCTTATATTGCTGCTGTACATTTACGGTGTAACTGCTACAGAAGGCTTTATTTATAGAAGACCTTGTATGTGAAGGCATCAAAAGAGGGTGCATGGAGTTCTTTCTTGTTACCTAACAAAATGCCTTGCAAGGATTATGGAATCGGAATGCTTGTGAGTGCTTTCATTAAGGTTGGTGTTGATGGGCTTTTGTTCGTGTCAGAATAGCTTTTCTCCCCAAACAAGTCTATGGGAATGCAAAAGAAGTTTAAAGCAGGTCAGAAGGAGGTCAACTGCAGGTTAACTGCACCTGTTAGCTAAATATGAATCATCTCAAAAGTATCTCTAAAGACCCCCCTTACTCCAGCGAGAGCACGCTAATATATATGGTATGAACCAGGTACAGACAGCAGTTGTTTTTGCTGTTTCTTTGCTTTGAGCCTGCATTGATCAACTTGCATCAACCCAATTCAACACACCTGGTGTGAACAAGCCTCAACTGATGCAACTTGACTGCCTCTGAAAGACAACTACATTGCCTATCTCCAGTATCCCTTTCACCAGGCGCATCTTGTAGATCTTGGGCAGGTGACTGGTAAATCATGATCTGGGCTTGCTGACCCACCATCCAACAACATAAATTAGAGTGCAATGCAGAGAGACTACTTGTAAAATTGGAGCTGTAGTAAGGAGCAAGAGCCACCACATAAGTTGTCTCCTCTGTAGCGCTGGCTCCTACGCCCTGTCATGGTTGGAGGGTGTAGCACCTTCCAAGCATGACCCATTCAAGTGAATGAGGCAGCCCTGCAACCTTGTGCAGTACAGCAAACAAGGGGTTAAACAGCCATCGGTATGTTGCTTTCTCACCACCTGCCCCCCTCCCTCACACTTTGGACCATGCAGAAGCATGTAGTTTCGGGGACCCTGCTGAGTGGCCCTATTTTTTTGAATGGGTCTCGATTGACAGGTGGTAGCACCCACCAAAAGTAACGGGGTACAATATCTGCTGCGGCATGTGTACACCTTTGACTGCTGCTTCAGCAGCTAAGGGGGTAGGGATTGGGGATGGTAACACCGTGACTAAACCACAGGGTTTTAAAACACCACACACACACTTTTTTTTGTGTGTTTCATAGGTGGTGAGGAGGCGATATATGCATGCCTCATCAGCACCTGATTTAAACCCATGATTGCTGTGCAATGCATGGGATTGTGGCACGATAGTAAAGCAATTAAAGGTTTAAATCAGGTGTGAGGAGGTGACACTGGCCGACACTGTTGTTGGTGATCTTTGACTTCTCTCATGTTGTTCAGGTAGATCTTTACCTCTTTAAGGTTGCCTACCCCTGCCTTACACTATATTCTTAAGCAGTGATCTCCAAATTGTGGCCTGCGGGCTGGATGTGGCCCTTTGCTTGCCTTTATCTGGCCCTTGAAGCCTTTTTCCCTGCAATGCAACGGCACTCTTCCCCTCCACTGACACCAGCAATTGGGGCACCATTCCTCCCAATGATGGGGTACTATTCCTTACCTTGATACCAACAATGGTATTCCTCTCACGGCTACCAATGAATGGGGCATTGTTTACTCCTAGTACATTTTCTACTGACAGTGGCCACAGTCCAGCCTCTTCAAAGTCTGAAGGACAGTAAACTGGCCCTTTGGAAAGTTTGGAGACCCCTGTTCTAAAGCAGTGTTTCTCAATCTTTTTTCAGTCGAGTCACCCTTTATAATTATGAACATTCTCAAAGCTAAGAAAGTTCCAAGGCACCCCATTCTAAAATGTAAAAAACTAAACTAGAAGTTTTACATATTGCAGTAGAGCCATGCCCGTAGGATAGGCAACATTAGAGGTGATTTATTTTTTACAAAGCAAACACACCTTTTTACACTGGTACTGACTAGTATTCCAGCATTTCTCTTCTTCCTCGTTCTCTCTTCCTCACTTTGCGAATGTGACCCCAATGCTGATGAAGAAAAGAAAAGGATGTCCACTGGCGCCCAATGTCCTCATCAACTTATGACAAAATTGGTTGTTAGAATGCCGGTAGCTGGCCTGCATAGTACCCAAGGTTGTCATGCTGTGCAATTAAAACGTGGCTTTGCGTAACATAACAGGTAGGCTTGGTCCACCTGCCGGCTTGTTGATCATTTTTGGGCAATTTGAGGTGATTCCTAGGTATTGTGTTAAGGCATCCTTGAAGAACCCAGAAGACACCCAAGGGTGCCTTGGAACCTTGGTTGAAAAAGGTTGTTGTAAATAATATTACCTGTAGTGTCCAGGCAGCTCCTCCTGAAACCACATAGCATAGCATTTGAAAGCCATTGAGAACAAGACCTGGAAGATTTGATGATCATCAATCTCTATCACTCCTTTGTAAGGGTCAGTGTGGAAAACTAGTTTAGACGACGTCAGCCAACAGAAAACTTAGCCTGTGCTCCTACTGTGTTGCAAAACCTTTAAAGCCCAACTCGGAGCTCTGGGATGAACCCCCCACAATCACACACACCTTCTTGAAGCTCTCTCTAGCCATATGTTCTGCTTGTTCTTTTACACTTCTTATCTTTTCCTGATTGATTCTGAATGGTCACATACTGGGTCCTCTTCTCCCAGCAGATGGCTCAAAGAGAGTTACTGATGTGATTACCACCCATATCCATCAATACACTGCAAATGAAGGGTACCCCGCTCAAGGGACAGGCACTGGAAGTTCTACATTCACAGTCTTTCCTCAGTCTTCCAGGTCAATATGCTGAGCACCATTCAATCCAGAAGACTGAGGACATGCTTTAGGTGAAAAAAGTTACTGCAGGGGTTAGCTCTGGATGCAAGGTGAGTATTGCAACCAGGGCTAGATTTTTTTTTTTTTTTTTAATTTGGGGGATATTTAAAAAAAAAAAATTAATCCAGAGTTGGTAATTAAGGAGGACAAGTGGTAACTTCAGTGTAAGCCTGCTTTCAATTTATTCATTGCTAT